TTCTCCCTCTGCTCCTCCCCCTGCTTGTTCTCTCTTTCTCTCAAATAAATAAATAAAATCTTAAAAAAAAAAAAGATGTTAAGATTGATCAGTGGGTCTGAGTATTATTGGCTCCATCTACCAACCCCTTTTTTAAAGATTTATTTATTTGACAGAGAGAGAGAGAGACAGCAAGAGAGGGAACACAAGCAGGAGGGAGTGGGAGAGGGAGAAGCGGGCTTCCCGCTGAGCGGGGAGCCCGATGTGGGGCTCTATCCCAGGACCCTGGGATCATGACCTGAGCCGAAGGCAGATGCTTAACCGATTGAGCCACCCCGGCGCCCCTCGATCTACCCCTTATAAAATTCCCTGAATGGTATTAGTGACCACTGATGTTTGCCTAAATACATTATTTCATTAGGGAGTGCAAAGCAGCGATTTTTATAATTCCACCCTTCCTTCTGCATTTATTGGCTTCTATGAAGAACTGTCCCTTACTGACTCTTTGGTGCATCTGAAAAATAGATTTTTCAGGAAAAGCAGGATAAATGCTTGATTCTTTTCCTTTATTTACTTTCGAATTAACGTACCAATTTTATCAAGTAGGTTTTTTCAAAAGAGAGAAAACATTAAGAACTCGGGGTTTTTATGTATTTGTATTGTTTCCATCCATTACAGTCATTGTGTTTTGGCCAGTAGGCTCCTGAGTAGTGCTTTATTATTGCAAGATACTTACCATACTTTAGTAATTTCCCTCACAAACAACGCTGTGAAGGTAGGTATTATTACCTAGCTTTACAAATGAGAAATCTACATCACATGGCTTGAACCACGATTCAAGGTCTATTGTTCTTTCCATTAAATATAATAATGGTTGTAAGAATCAGAGCGTTAGAGGTGACTGGATTTTTTTTTTCTTTCTGGTTTTAAGATTAAACAGCAGAGGTCTTTAACCAGTGGGAATATGATATTAAGCAATATACACTTTAGAAGGCATTACTTGGGGCAAACACTGTTGAGAATAATGTTATGCTGATGAATACCGTAACTTAGTAAATAGCCCGTCTCAACTTTGTTTGTGAAGCATTGCGATTTTGATTACTCTGTGTGGGATCTACTGCTCAGATGTAGGTCATTTTATGGCCTGCCCATGTCTGGGGAGCTGGTATTACACGCTGCCTAGTGTTTTTAATTCAGAACTTCTTTGAAAAGAAACCTTAGCCTCTTATGTTTAAACCCTTGTTTTAATAGCATAAGCTATTTCCTTCTTAGATAGCTTTGTGGGCATAGTAATAAAATAAATACCACAAAATCACTGATGAGATGAAAATTGAGCTCCCTGCTTCTGTGCGGCCATGTAGGTAAAACAGTAATTGGCTCTGATAATAACTTTTGTTCTTACAAAACCAAAGTCTAAATGAGAGTCACATTTGATATATCTGCTTGTAATTACTATCAGAAGGAGAGAATTCCAAGTTTGGATTGTTTAATGACTCAAGATAGATTAAATAGATGGCTGCCTTTTCTTGATCAATTCGAGAAAAATTTCTGAAATTATTTTTTATATTTATCTTGCTGTTGGTGAAAATTATCTTCCAGGGCTTGCTCTTCTGCTTAATGGAATGATGAATTTTGTTTTTCTTTTTTAAATTGACAACTGTTTTTCTTGAAAAGATGTTATTACTGGGTCTGATAATGCAGCTTATGCTTTTAGGTGTTTTCCTATATAGTTCAATAGGTGGTTTGTGAAACAAGTTTAAGTTATGAATGTGTTTGGTAGTGATTTATAGCAAAACCATTTGATACACTATTATTTAAATGTAGGCCCTTTTGTTTTTTAAAAGGGAAATTTAATGTGTTATTATTATTTTGGTATACACATGTTTCGGTGCCAAAGTAGTAAATATTAGAATACTAATCATTTTAAAGGACCTCTCCCATTGCTTTTAGAAGCTAACTAATACATAACTGATATTACAACCTGTCATTTCTTTGGGATTTCTATTTACATTTGGATTCCTGTCCATAAAGATCTATGTCCAGTGCCACAGAAATGTAACAATGAGCAGAGAACTGGATTTTGATGCCACTTTCCACAATGATTCTGTATTTGATAATTTCCTCCCTACACCCGTACCATAGCCACACAAAGTTGACGGAGCATAATAAAACTAAGAAAACTGCTATGGTCCACCGAGCCAATGAATTAAAAAGTTCTAACAAATCTTAGACATGATAGATGAAGCTTTTACCATCAGTTGTATCCAGGGTTCACATTTAAAACACACTCTAATTACAGAAACCACATCCAGTCAATATAATACATATTAGCAATTTCCTAATCCTTGGTAGGATGGAAATTATTCTGAAAGTTTAATTAAGAAGGAAAAAATTATGTTCAGGTATTAATTTCAATAAAAGTGGCACTCGGCTTACGCGCAAAAGCCCCGGAGTGGTGCTGTGAGTGTGGGTTCCTCACAGAAGGAAAGCCATTTATAATTAGCACAACATTGCTTTTGTAACCCCACATACTTCCAGGAGAAGGAAACAGATAGGCTTTCTTGGCAACCGGTATCCCTGCATGGGTTAAAGTGGACAGCTGAGTGCCATTATTTAGAGATTTGGCTTAAAAACTGCTATTTAAAAAAAAAACACAAAACACAGAAGAGAGGTTTGGAGGCTGTGTTAAATAACTTACCTGGACAGGATACATACCATAGGTATTTTTGTAGGCTTCCCCTTCACTTTGACCTTAGGCACAGCCCTGTTTATGAATGCTTATGATCAAAGAAATAGCTGGATCATGAATGAATCTTCCCAGTGTGTATGACCATTTTAACAATTGCACCAGATCACTCCCAGATCTAAGACACTCAATTGAAAGGAAAAATATTTTTTTAATTGCTCACAACACCTTCTTTCCAAAAAGTCACAGGGACCATGTATTTTAGGAATCCATTTATATGAAATGCCCAGAATGGGCACATCTAAGAGACAGAAAGTAGACTAGTAGTTGCCAGGGGCTGGAAGGAGGAGTAAGTGGGGAGTGATTGTTAATGGGTGTGAGGTTTCTTTTTGGGGTGATGAAAATGTTCTGAAATTTGGGGTGATGGTTGCACAACTTTGTGAATATGCGAAAAACCACTGACTTGCGTACTTTTAAAGGTGTGAATTTTATAGTATGTGAATTATATCACAGTAAAAAGTCACAAGACCTCAGAAAAGGTTGTGATGTCATATTCCTTAAGTGTCACCTTACCTTTTAGCATCACATCATAGAATGCCAAAGCAGGGGAGGGTGTGTGTGGGGGGGAGGGGTGTCGGGGGGTGGATAGGGTGGCATTTGGAGGGTAGGGGTGAAGGTGAATAGTTCTTCAAGAGACCCTCAAGTCTAACTGCTGCATTTTGCAAGTAAAGAAACTGACTTTCAAAGAAGGAGAGTGACTTACCCAAGGTAACATGCAGGCAGTCCAGAGGAGGGCAAGATTGGAACCTAGCTAGGTCTCTCCCCTTTTCCACCATCACTGTGTTGTCTTCGCTGGTGGTTTATAGTTCGGCATCTCAGCAGTAACTAATTTGAGTTATTTAAAATGAGGAACACGTGGTTCAAACGACATGCTTTTATATTTTTTCTAATGACAGCACATGTTTTTCCTATAGATAGCAAAATCTCTGTGAAGGAGTAAATAAATGCGTTGTGGTAAATTCACCAAGTCCAAAGTGAGATTTACCTGTAAATGTCCCTTGAGGAAAATGGCCACATTAACAGACCAAGGGAGCCCTCTACCTGTGTGTTTGCAGTATAGATTTCATTGGCAAAATCCTTGACCTGGAAAGCTAAAAATAGATCGAGACCAGGTATTCTGGTCCTTTGTCCACCTTGGTTGGCTTCTGGTATTATTTTGGAGGAAATGAGTGGTGTCCTAGGATATATTTGTACGAGCAATAGGATACATGGAGGAAAATCTACAGAAAGTTCCTTTTCTGTGAATAAAAGAGACCAATTAGCAGCCTAAATAAAACCAAATATATATATATATATACACATATATATAAATTTTTGTCAAAAGAATTATACTAAAATAATTATTTTCAAAGAACTTCACACTCCTTTGAGGATATAAAATGTTAGTAAGCATTTTTGTTCATTCAACATGAAAGTTTCATTGTTTCTTTGTTTCAGCGAAAGATAGGGTTGAATGTAAAAATCATGCAGGATCCTGAAAACATCCACCACAGAGCTGCTGTAAATGTGAACTACGGAATCAGTTTGCCATGTATTAATCAGAGAAAAGCCTGTGTAAGTAATGACTTGTTTTAAAGAGCTCTTAATATTTTTTAAGAACCAAAAGTCCTATCTTTTATAAGATACAATGTACATTTTAAGTAATGATTTTGATCCTTAGAATTTTGGGGAGATGAAATGGAATGGCTTTCATTCTGTTTATAGTTACGAATAATTAAAAACATGTAAACCATTTTTAAAAGATTTGTAGCTCATTCAAATTTCTCTGTTTTATCTGATGTTCCTAAATAATCTGGTATCATCATTTTAACAAGGATGAAATAATTTAACAACCAAAGGAATGAAGAGAGAAATGTTAAATATTTTATTTCTTTGATAGTAGGCTTACCGCTAGAAAAATCGGAAGAAAACAGCACGGTAATCGGCTTCAATGCATATAATCATCCAGTACACAAAATTTAAGAATATTATTCTAAATCTGAAGCAAGCATGGAATCATTCTTTATGTCAGCAAAATTTGATGGGAGGGAAGAATGATCAAACGGAGATTGGCATTAAGTGATCTCAGAGTCTGTGCCTGTATTTACCATTGACTGGCTGCTAAGTGTCCCAAAGCAAGGACTGTACTTTCTGTGTTGTGGGGTTTTCTTAGGAGATTTAAAAGTAGTGCTTCATTTTAATTGAGAAATTATTTGACTTGAGATTATTTCTAATACTGAAAACAATCACTGAGGTGACACCTATACATTTGTAAATACATTTTTAACCTTTGGCTTCTCTCAAAAGTTCTTAAATGTATGCTTTGGGGAGATCAAAACTAAAAAACAAGATGAATTTTAGAATTAAATTGCAAAACCATTTCTAATCAGAATAGTTTCTTGGATTAATCTTCTAAATTTCCTACACAGACATTTTCATCTGCCTGCTTCATTCATGTAACCCTGAAATAATATTTTTTACTTTCTTTCTATGTGCTTTATGTTATTCTAATAGGTTTGGCCTAAGTGCACTCTATCATAGAAATACTTCTATAGCCTAAGAAATAACCAGAAAGTTAGATATTTTTATTCCTGCTGAAACTTTATTTAAAATGTCACTGTGAATAATGGGAAAGGGTTTTTATCGGGGTCCCATGAGTCCAAAGCCCTTGAAATAAAAATATTATTTCTCTGGCTGCACAGACAGAAGCAGATTTCTCTTTTGTTGTTGTTGGTTTTCCCCCTTCAATCTAGAATTATATTGGCATAGCTGGTGGAGTGCTGGGGCTTTGTAGCCCAAGGCAACTACAGCATTTCCAGCAAACTTTTCCTGATGAGTATCGAAGTTTAAAAAGACACACCTCTAGATTTAGAGAGGATTATGGTTGGCTTTAATGAGAATGGGAGTGAAGATTCAGACATATATAGGAATTCAAAGTTATATCCAAAATCTGGGGCAGAACCTTAGTCATTTGTTATATTTTTTGCTAATTCCCAAGAGGATGAGTGCTTTGGTTATTGTGCCCATGTACTTCAAACGCAGAGGGTTTGGGAAAGCACTTGGCCTTGCATGATACATAGATAATATACACTCATTTATTGTATTGAAGATCCTTTTTTCCCATTAAACTTGACTCCATGAACATCTACACCAGAGCCCTTTAAAATGTATGGACATTATATACATTTTGCTCAAGCTGACTATTAACATTTCAATCAAAATAGTTGATCCTATCATCTCACGTTGCTATATGTATATATGATGGTAGTAACGGGAAGTCAGTAATTTCGTTTTGGATTTATAAAATGAAAACACTGTGCCAAAAGCCCCGTTCTAGAAATATTCAGGTATTGGTTTTAAACAATCCCATAGAGCATTTGAGAACAGATACAGTTGTGATTTACCACTTATAAAAACGTTTCTGAAAGCACTTCCCCACATGGAAGCAATGTGTCTACTGTTGTGATGTATAGTTAATTAGAAAAGCAGCATCAAGGCTAATCGCTTTTTAGAACTACTCTAAACACTCAAAGGGGATTATGATTTGGCTGCCGAGGGCCATGTGCTTCCTTCCTTCTTATGAAACTTGAACAGCTTGTCAAAAGCCTGTAAATAATCTTCGACATTTTTGACAGAGCAAATTTGAATATGTAGCTGGTTTACATGATTAGTTCCTAGAAACTGATATTTTCTCCATTTTATGAAGAGGTATATCCTTCGTGATCATAAGGCGCTGGTGCAGAGATTTTAAAGCACTGAAGGCACATATAACCCAGACGCACGCGCGTGTGCACACACACCCCACCCCACCCCACATGCCTTCAGGATTTTATATCCTGTAACTATATGTAAAATCAATTTATAAAAAAAATACTAAAAGTGAAACTCACTAATGATTTTTTCCAGTATCTTAAATCTGCCAAATTATACAACAACAACAACGTTCTAATAGGTTTTAGAGTGGAGCCTCACAGGTACAGGGAGACAAAAAGAAATCTCTGATACATCAGTGTCACACTTCCTCGCTGCCATCTAGCTCCAGTTAGACTTTCTGATGCAACACATTCGAAGATCTACAGAAAATTTGACTTTGATTTATTTAGTTTAGATAAAAAGGGTTTCTTACAAGGCTTCAAACATATATCTGTTAGCATGAATTTTAAAAGAACAATTATGAATGCATAACAAAATAACCAGACAAAACATTGCTTTGAATCACTGCACAAATAACTCTGATTATAACTGTTATGACCTAGAAAAGAATCATAAAACCATTTTTCTTGTTGGCAACCTATGAGTTGCTGTAGAAATATACCAGTCCTTTGGTCCCACTTTCCAAATAAATAAATATATAATGCAATGTAAACTTAGAATCTTTTATTTATTCATGAGGTTGAATTTAATACTATTATGATTTCTCGATTTTATGAGTCATACGTTATGCGGTGTTTTTCACTAACTTAGTTGGGTAGCAACCACGCTTCACAAATCATAGTTTCATTCTTTACTGTTTCACTTGGGGTGTACATAGTAATCTCTGTCGTGAAAGTACATTCATTTCTGGAATGATAAAGTAATGAAAAGTGAGGCAATTGTGTTCATGTCAAATGATTAGAAGTAGCGCCAGAAGAAAGGGGGAAGGTCGGGGCCGGGGAGTGGTGGGGGGAGAAAGAAGGATGATTTCAAAACATGATTGTGTTTTAAGCCCATGCATATGGCCACAATTACAGTCACAACGTAATTTGGCAATGGGAGCAGAATTAGATTTAAACAAATTGATGTTACACTGCAGTAATTCAGAATGAGCTTGTTGCATTTATAAACCATAACAAGCAGAGTGAATTAATAAACCCTTCTTGTCACTAAAAATAAAAAAGGGAATAATTGCTGAGACGGAGTTAACAGATGACTATAGTCAGCATCCTTTCAGCCTAGATATGGGAAAGTGAAGGTCACCCCCATCTCGGATGACAAAGAGGGAACATTTTGTTGGTAAACAAATTAATCTTTTGAAAGGTCGCCATTTGTTTTAAGTTTTTCTCCAGTTCTTGTCATCTGGAATCAGAGATTGACTGTCATTTCACTAGGCAGGGGTGCAGTTGAAGCAGACAAAGCTGCTTCTGTACGTATCAGCATTCCTTGACAAAACTTGGTGCCTGATTGCAATGCTATGGGCTGCTGGTTTACAGCTGTCTCCGGACAAGAACGGAGGCCCACCCCTGAATTCCAATAAGATGGGCCTGCCTAGTCTGCCTGCTGCAAGCTGGCCCTCTGCCTACAAGGAAAATGCACTGTAGTTCAAGCCAGCAATTATCTCTTGTACTTCCTTCTGTGCTGCTTCTGTTCCTTTTTTCCAAAAACAGATGTGGGTATTCACTCAAGTTCTGCAGCTCTTCTTTCTCACACATGCTGGGTCAGAATTTTGACAGAGGGAGAGTCTGAGGGAGCCAGCAGACAACAGTCAGACGGAATTTCTTTGAGAGCAGTTTAGAAAGAAAATGTGGATTTTCCAGGAAACGTGGAGTCAGCATCTTGGTCCCCCTCCCTTTTCCCAGGACCATTTGGTAAATTAAATTAGTGGAATGAAAGGAAAACCGCTTTTAAAGACATTCAGAAATGCCATCTCCTATTTATGACACACAGTCATTACCCAAGCACCGTGCTGGCACGCGCAGACAGCACCCCCACTTCCGTGGCTCAAGAGAGCTTTCTGGTCAGGTCGCTTAGAGAGAGTTTTCCAGAAAACAAGGACTTCTCGTGTTCTTCCTGATTCCTCAAATGTACGCCACCAGTACGGCAGTGGTGGTGCTGGAGCATGGGACTGGTACATCACCTTGGTAGGTGGATGCTGTTTAGAACTTTAGTTCCGCCTGGGTTTTGAGTGCTGGCAAAGCCGAAGAAAGTGATGAGACAATTGACCTTGGCTGCTCCCGGGCTCTCTCACAAAAGCCCACTAGGACTCTGGGAGCGGGAAGAGGCTATTAGAGGCTTTGCCCTCATCGGGTAACGTTCACCGAAAATCTGCCGGTAGGGAGTTCCCAAACTTCTTGAGAATGTTCCCTGAGTTTCTGTGCTGAGATGCTGCACACCTTCCCAGACCCACCAGCCCTGTGCTGAATCACTCCCAGCACTCACTAGCTCTCAGCGTAGGGAGTCTGGCTCGGACTCCACGGCCTGGTGTGAATCTGGCCTGATGAGGGACTTCCCAGAAACAGCCTGCGTTGTTTCACATGTAAAATGTCCATAGTAAGAGTATCTCATAGGATTGTATTGAGATTTAAATGAGAGAAGTCAAAGCACTTAGCAAAGGTCCTGGTACAAATAAAGGCTCTGAAAATACTAGTTGTGACTAGTGGCAATTTTCGCGGATTGTATTGTGCCATGTTTTATACTGTCATTTAAAGCTTACATTACTGTAGCGGTTGAGGGAGAGAGCCAAAATATTACTGAAATACCTTCCAAGGATTCTATTTAATATTTCCTATGATGACGCCTTCTTTCCCACCCTGATATGAGGGCAGGGACCTTGCTGTCTGTTCTGTTTGCCTGTTTTTCAGACTTTCCCCTGCCCCAAGTAGTATTTTACACATAATAAGTGCTCAGGAGAGGATCCAGTCTCTGACAAACTAAGCGACCTGATGCCAAGTCTAGAAGTGAAGAAATGATGTTGCTGGCCCCGGTCACCCTGGTTGCACGGGGCATTCTCTCACTGGGCCATCCGAGACAGTCTTCCTAGTGAAACACCCTCGCTCCTGGATTCCTGCAACAGCCTTGCCACCCACTAGCTGTTTCCAAGAGCAAGTTACTCCACCTCGCTCATTCCCATCTTCAGGGGTTATAAAACGGGGAGGTTGGGTTGGAGGCGGTCTGGTGCGGTGGGAAGGGTTGAGTGGCTCAGTTTGGGTCCTATCTGCCATCTTGCAGTTATGCAACCCCAGGCAAGCAAATGCAATCTCTGTTCCCTCTTCTACGGAGTCAGAATAGTGGTGCCCATTAGGCAAGGGGGTTCTGGGAATTATAGATAATACAACGTTGCTGGCACATAATAGGTACCTAATAAGGCTCCTGGTTTTGGGAAAAATGAGCTAATACTAGAAATCTCATACTTCCTTCCCCTTCTTCACACCTGTGCTCCCAGGGAAGGATCTGATTTGGCTCCTTTCACACTCCAGTATAAATGAGTAATAAGGCTTAATGCTCTCGTTTTCAAACCGTTACAGAGAACTCTGGTGAGTTTCAGGGAGACTGCAAGCATTTAATTCATATTTAATTTTTTTGATAAATATTTGAGCCATTTTAAAGTGTAACAAAGAAAACACAGACATACTTAGGTTAAGTACCAAATTTTCATACATACTAGATACAATCAGTGGGTTAGTTTGTGCTGTTAGGTTAATTCTTGGAGTGCGTGGGCCTGCGCGCGCACACACACACACATTTGAATTCCCTAGAAAGGTGTTTTTTATCAGATAGGGTGTATCTTTGTACTGGTCATATTTTGAAATTCAGGTCTGCTCATATACACTCCTATAATAATCACACAAATAAATAAGTGAAGGTTAAGTCAGCAAATACACATCAAGGTCTTAAAGCAGTGCCTAGCCCCTACTAAGCATTCCCCTGGTGTTAGCATTCCAACACATGTGTGCCACCACGCATTCAAAGCCAGGCAAGTTCTCTGGAGCTGTTTGGCAGCATAATAGTGAATGGTACAATTACAATACTACACATTGCATGGTGGGAATACAGTATTATAGATCATCTCGTTGCTCATTTTAGGTTTGGGTTGGTTCTTACCTGGTTGGAAATGTGCTGTACAATCTTCATCTGGCAATGCAGGGCCGCCATGTGACTTTGCTTACAGCTGTACATGAAAGGTCAGCAATAAAGCATCCTCTTAAAATTTGGACTCAACACGCAAAACAAAATTAGATTGTTTTGCAGTTGAGTGACTATCCAAAACAGGAGGGTGCCGAGATACCCAAGAAGAAATTTCAATGGGGGCGCCTGGGTGGCTCAGTCGTTAAGTGTCTGCCTTCAGCTCAGGTCATGATCCCAGGGTCCTGGGATCAAGCCCAGCATCGGGCTCCCTCCTCGGCGGAGAGCCTGCTTCTCCCTCTCCCACTCCCCTTGCTTGTGTTCCCTCTCTCGCTGTCTCTCTCTCTCTGTCAAATAAATAAATAAAATCTTAAAAAAAAAAAAAGAAATTTCAATGGACATGATGGAATGAACATCTTACAATGTTATAGGACAATGTTACAATGTTACAATTGTTATATACAGTTGAAAAGTACTTCCGGTCATTGGACCCCTCAAAAATAAGAGCACTTGCTAAACTGTGCCAGATGCCATGCTAAGTGCTTTATGTACACTCTCATATTTAACCCTTATACCTATAACATATGTGCTATTTTTATAACCATTTTACACATGAGGAAACTGAGACTAAGATTAAGCTACTCACCTACAGTAATGAAGTCGGTAAGGGGAGTTAGGATTCAAAGTATTTATGAAATCCACTGGACAAATCTCCCTAAATTAAGTACTCATCAACTAATCCTTAATTACCAAGGAATACGAGCAGTTGTTAGATATTGTTAGTGATTCCATTTTGAAACAAAAAATTCCTACTATTCTTAAAAGCTTCTGGAGCATTTTAATTGAGGGAACTCCTGAGATTATAAACACCATAACAAATTGTTAGCTATCTGAAATTCCTTATCCATTGACTTCAGAATGTTCTCCATTTTGTGCATGCAAGAAAAAAATACAGAAATAAATTGTATGCTGAGATGGATGCAAGATTGTAGTTATTATCTGTAACTCTTGATTTCATAATTTGCCTTCATCAAGACAACCTTATTGTTTCCAGTGTTGATTTACATATAATATATATGCTTATTTGTGTATGTAATTCAACATACAGAATTATACTAAACTCTTTAAAATTTTGTATTTATTTACATATCAGCATTCTATTTAAGGTTGCATTTGAAAAATAGCTTCTACTCCTGAAAATAAATTTGAAAATCTTTGGCATGGAGTATTCTCCCATGGGTTTTTGTTTTTTAACAAGAGTAAATGCTCTATTTAATTAAACCAAAGGAGTTAGACTCTATTAAGGGATTTGAAGCATAAGTGGACAGGGAGGAAGGGGTTTGGGGGACACAGGAAGAGAGCCTTTCACTGCCCTGGAATCATCCCGGGTCAGCGGCCACCTGCTAACCAGCTAACCTTGCCCCCTGGATGTGATCCAATGCCTTTGCACTTTGTGGCTTGGGTTTTGGGCTTGAGTTTTGGTCATGAGGAGGCTATGTTTCTAACCTCCTAATCGCACTTTGAGGAGCCAAAAATTACATAGATGGT